CTGCCCAGCTGGGAATCCTCGCTGATCTGTTTTCTCCTCCCCTACCAATAATCAGGGGTCAGCTCCCCTCTGTCCATCCCCCTGCCCCGCCAGGCACCCTCCCAGGTCTGTGTCTTCTCCTACCCCGGCAATCGGGGGTCAATGCCCCTCTGCCCTTCCCCTCCTCCTGCCCAGCCAGACACCCTCCTAGGTCTGTGTCTTCTCTTCCCCTACCAGCAATCAGGGGTCAGCTCCTCTCTGCCCATCCCCACCCCCTCCCCGGCCAGGCACCTCCCAGGTCTCCTCTCTGCATTGGGTCAGTTCCCGTCCCCTCCCCCTCCTCTACTCTGTCCCTCCCCCTCCCCGGCCAGGCACCCTCCCGAGTCTGTTCCCTCTCGCTGCCCCCTCCTCGGGGCGTCCCCATCAGGGGCTGACCCCCTCACCCCGCAGAGGCCCAGGCCCAGGCCCCCTCCCACTTCAGAAGCCCCCTCCCGCTCCCGCCGATAGACACCGTCGGCTACAGAGACGTCTCAGCCGGAGCCCCGGAGCCCGCGTCCCGCCCGGTGCCGAACCTGAGGCAGCCCTGCCGGCTCCTCCCGGCGCCGCGGCTCTCCACAGGCCAGGGGTCCAGGTTGGGGCTGGGGACTGGGGCCGGGACTGGGGCTGGGGCCTGGCCCGGGCCAGGTGCGCGGGACGGGAGGAGGGGCAGGCGGGGTCCTGGCCAGGCTGCAGGAGCCGGGACTGTTACCTGTACTGCAGGCCGCTGCCCTGCGCGAAGCCGAAATAGTGACTTGCAGCCATCTTGGCGTCTTCCCCAAGCCCGGCGTGCCCCCTAACGTCACCGGCCCCGCCCCCGAGCCGCGTGCCGCTCGCGCCCAGCCACGCGCCCCAAGCCCCGCCCCCTGCGCGAAGCCCGCACCTTCTCGCTTCCTTCTCTTAGGTTGGGGAGACACCGCCTCGTGACCCGCCCGGCAACGAGGCCCCGCCTCCTACGCAGAGCCCCGCCCTCCTCTTGACTACCGAAATGTGGAGGTCTCTGCTCAAGCCCCGCCCATGCTAGAAGCCCCGCTTCTTTTTTGGAGCCCCACATTCCCTTTAACCACTCACATATGGAGGTATCTGATCAAGTCCTGCCCATGCTACAGGCCCCGCCTCTTACTCAGAGCCCTGCCTTCCGTTTACTCACTCATAGGTGGTCTCTGCTCAACCCCCACCCATGCCACAAGCCCCGCCTTTTTCTTGGAACTCTGCCTTCCCTTTAACGACTCAGATGTGGATGTCTCTGCTCCAGCCCCATCCATGCCACAAGCTCCGCCTCTTTCTCGAAGCCCCGCCTTCCCTTTAACCACTCAGATGTAGAGGTCTTTGCTCAAGCCCCACCCATGCCACAGGCCCCGCCTCTTACTTGGAGCCCGGCCTTCCCTTTACCCGCTCAATTATGGTCTCTGCACAAACCCTGCCTCTGTTTCCGAGCCCCACCTTCCCTTTAACCACTCAGATGTGGAGGTCTCTTCTCAAGCCCCACCCATGCCACAAGCCCCACCACCACCACAGCCAGCTAGTTTTTTAATTTTTTGCATCTAGCCTCAGAATGATTCTTCAGGAGGCCCCATGGTCTCTGCCTCCTGTGTTCACAACCTGATATAAATAAATGATAGGCCAGGCACAGTGGCTCACATCTGTAATCCCAACATTTTAAGAGGCTGAAGCAGGAGGATCTTGAGTCTTAGGAGTTTGAGACTAGCCTGGGCAACATAGCAAGACCCCGTCTTTACAATTTTTTTTTTTTTAATTAGCTGGACGTGATGGTACATGCCTGTGGTCCCAGCTATTCAGGAGGCTAAGGTAGGAGGATCACTTGAGCCTGGGCGGTCAAGGCTGCAGTAAGCTGTGACTGTACCACTGCACTCCAGAGTGAGACCTTGTCTCTAAAAAGAGAAAAGAAAGGGCTAGGCGTGGTGGCTCACGCCTGTAATCCCAGCACTTTGGGAAGCCAAGGTGGGCAGATCACCTGAGGTCAGGAATTCAAGACCAGCCTGGCCAACATGGCAAAACACTGTGCCTACTAAAAATACAAAAAAAAAAAAAAAAAAAATTAGCCAGGCCTGGTGGTGCACACCTGTAATCCCAGCTACTTGGGAGGCCAAGGCAGGAGAATCACCTGAACCTGGGAATCAGGATGCAGTGAGCCGAGATCACACCACTGTTCTCCAGCCTGGGCAACAGAGTAATACACTGACTCAAAAAAAAAAAAAAGAAAAGAAAAAAGGAAAAGAGAGGAGAGGAGAGGGGTAGGGAGGGAGAGGAGAGGGAAAGGAGAGGAGGAGAGGAAAGGGAAGGGGAGGGGAGGGGCAGGGAGGGAGGGAAAGGTAGGAAGGCAGGGAGGGAGGGGAAAGAAAAGAAAAGAAAAAAGAAAAAAGAGAGAGAAATAATTGAATGAATAAATAAATAAATGGAGGCAAACAGACAAATGTCTTATGTAGAAGAATTCCTAATTTGTGTAGCTACACTGCCCTTAAGGAGATAGAGAGTAACTCTACACCTCTTGAGTGTGGGCTGTGCATAGTGACTTCCTTCCCAAGAGTGCAGCGTGGAAGGAGGGGGAGGGAGAGTCACTTGACAATATTGAAACCTGACAAGCAGCAGAGCGTTTGGCGGTCCCGCAGATCTGTCTCCTGCTTCAACAGTGTTTGGACGGAACAGATCCGGGAACTCTCTTCCAGCCTCCGACCACCCTCCGATTTCCTCTCTACTTCCAACCTCCAGGACCATCTTCTCAGTCCTCTCCTGCTTCTCGGACCAGCCAACACCGTTTCTGTGGTTAGCTCCTTCTTGCCGACCAACCGTGTGCTCCCAGATTCGTCAGAATTATTCCATCGCCTGATCAATTTGCACCTGCGGGCCTCCTACACCTCCTCCCTCCGCGCTTCTATTTCCACCACCATGATGTGGCTCCGGAAGGCGGGGGCCACTTCTTCCATGAATTGGCCAAGGAGAAGCGCAAGGGCATTGAGCGCCTCTTGAAGATGCAAAACCAGCGTGGTGGCCCTGCTCTCTTCCAGGACTTCCAGAAGCCAGGTCAAGATGAGTGGGGTAAAACCCTGGAAGCCATGGAAGCCGCCATGGCCCCGGGAACGGCATGGCGACCAGGGTCTTTTGGATCTTCATGCCCTGGGTTCTGCCCCCACAGACCCTCATCTCTGTGACGTCCTGGAGAGTCACTTCCTAGATGAGGAAGTGGGCCGCACGTGGTGGCTCACACCTGTAATCCCCACACTTTGGGAGGCCGAGGCGGGCGGATCACCCTAGGTCAGGAGTTTGAGACCAGCCTGGCCAACATGGCAAAACCCCAACTCTACTAAAAACACAAACATTAGCCGGGCGTGGTGGCGCACGCCTGTAATCCCGGCTATTCAGGAGGCTGAGGCATGAGAATCGCTTGAACCCTAGAGGCCGGGGTTGCAGTGAGCCGAGATCACGCTACTGCACTCCAGCCTGGGGAATAGAGTGGGGGGTCTTTGAACGCTAGACTCCAAAAAGCATCATAAAAAAAAGAAGAAGGTGGGTGACCCCCTGACCAGCCTCTGCAGGCTGGCCGGCCCGGAGGCTGGGCTTCGTATCTCTTCGAAAGGCTCACTCTCTTTTTTTTTTTTTTTTTTTTTTTTGGAGACGGAGTCTTGCTCTGTCGCCCAGGCTGGGGTGCGGTGGCCGGATCTCAGCTCACTGCAAGCTCCGCCTCCCGGATTTACGCCATTCTCCTACCTCAGCCTCCCGAGTAGCTGGGACTACAGGTGCCCGCCAACCCGCCTGGCTAGTTTTTTTGCATTTTTTAGTAGAGATGGGGTTTCACTGTGTTAGCCAGGATGGTCTTGATCTCCTGACCTTGTGATCCGCCCGTCTCGGCCTCCCAAAGTGCTGGGATTACAGGCTTGAGCCACCGCGCCCGGCCAAGGCTCACTCTCAAACACGACTAGGAACCTACTGAGCCCAGCAACTTCTGAAGGGCCCCTCATAAAGTAACAGGGCTTCTGCCTAAGCCTTTCCCTCCAGCCACTAGGCAGTTTTTTTGTTTATTTGTTTGTTTGTTTTGTTTTGTTTTGAGATGGAATCTTGCTCTGTCGCCCAGGCTGGAGTGCAATAGCACAATCTCAGCTCACTGCAACTTCCGCCTCCCAGGCTTTGGTGATCCTCCAACCTCAGCCTCCGGAGTAGCTGGGTTTATAGGCACACGCCAGCACACCCAGCTAATTTTTGCATTTTTAGTAGAGACGGGGTTTCACCATGTTGGCCAGGCTGGTGTCAAACTCCTGAGCTCAGGTGATCCACCTGCCTCCGTCTCCCAAAGTGCTGAGATTATAGGCGTGAGCCACCACGCCCGGCCCAGTCTATGGTATTTTGTTGTAGCACCCTGAACAGACTAAGATGCCCACTTTGAACACTAGACTCCAAAAAGCATCATAGAAGTCATGGGCTTCTGTTAGATGGGTGTGGTGGCAGGTGCCTCAGGAAGTTGAGGTGGGAGGATCACTTGAGCCCAGGAAGCAGAAGTTGCAGTGAGCCAAGATCACACCACTGCACTCCAGCCTGGGTGACAGAGCCAGACCCCCTGTCTCCAAAAATAAAAACAAAAACAAAAAACAAAACAAAAAAAAAGGGATCGGGCGCATGCCTGTAATCCCAGCACTTTGGGAGGCAGGCGGATCACCTGAGGTCACGAGTTCAAGACCAGCCTGGTCAGCATGGTGAAACCCTGTCTCTATTAAAAAATACAAAAATTAGCCAGGCGAGGTGGTGGGTGACTGTAGTTCCAGCTACTCAGGAGGCCAAGGCAGGAGAATTGCTTGAACCTGGGAGGCAGATGTTGCAGTGAGCTGAGATCGTGCCATTGCACTCCAGCCCAGGTGAGAGAGTGAGACTCGGTCTCAAAACAAAACAAAACAAACAAAAAGGAAGTCTTGGGTCTTGGGCATCTATGAACTTTTGCTTTGCTGAAGTCTTTCAAATCAGTTGGCTTTTTGACAATGGAGTATTACGAGAGCATTAAAGTAAGAAGTGCATTCAGCAGGTACAGGACTACTAATTCTTGGACAGGCTCCATGGAGAGCCCAGGGTGCTGCAGGAAGCCACATTTGATGATTTAGCGGATGGCACTCTTCCATCTGTATCTCCATGACCATGTGTGGCCACCAGGAATGGTCTGGTGGGTCTGGCCAATGCAGCTCCCCCTGCCATGCCCTGGCTAAAGTCCAACAAGGTAATTAATTGCACATGGCCTCTCTCCAAGTCCCTGCCATTCTAATTAGGTAACGAAGGCTGCATCTCTTTACAAAGGATCTGTTGTAGTGTTTTCTCGGGCTTGCATTTTTTCTCTTATGTACTACAAGGATTGTGCCAAATGCTTTCCATGCAAAATGTAATCTAGTTCCCATAATAGCCTTCAGAAGGCACTGGCTCATGCCTGTAATCCCAGCACTTTGGGAGACCGAGGTCGGGAGTTCGAGACCAGCCTGGCTAACATGGTGAAACCCCATCTCTACTAAAAATACAAAAAAATTAGCTGGGCATGGTGGTAGGTGCCTATAATCCCAGCTGCTCAGGAGGCTGAGGCAGGAGAACCGCTTCAATCCAGAGGGCGGAGGTTGCAGTGAGCTGAGATCAAGCCACTGCTCTCCAACCTGGGTGAAAGAGTGAAACTCTGTCTCAAAAAATAAAACAAAACAAAAGAAACAAAAAAACAGCTTTCAGAAGTAGACACCGGCCAGGCATAGTGGCTCAAAGCAGTAACCCCAGCTACTTCGGAGGCCAAGGCAGGAGGATCGCTTGAGCCCAGGAGTTTGAGACCAGTCTGGGCAACACAGGGAGACCCCATCTCTACAAAAAATACAAAAGTTAGCCAGGTGTGGTGGCGTGTGCCTGTAGTCCCAGCCACTTAGGAGTTTTTTTTGAGATGGAGTCTCACTCTGTCGCCCAGACTGGAGTGCAGTGGCGCGATCTCAGCTCACTGTAGCCTCCACCTCCCAGGCGCAAGCGATTCTCCTGCCTCAGCTTCCCAAGTAGCTGGGACCACAGGCGCGTGCCAGCATACCCAGCTAATTTTTGTATTTTTAGTAGAGATGGGGTTTCACCATGTTGACCAGGCTGGTCTCGAACTTCTGACCTCCTGACCACCCACTTTGGCCTCCCAAAGTGCTGAGACTATAGGCGTGAGCCACCCCGCCCGGCCTGTATCAGGCATTCTTTTAGGGCAGAATTTTTCCTGCTCAGTACTGTGGACATTGGGACCAGATTGTTCTGTGGATTGGGGCCTTCCTGGGCACTACAGGGTGCTGAGCAGCGTACCTGGCCTCCACCCACTCCATAACAGCAGTATCCCCCAATCGCAACAATCACAAATGTCCCCAGAAATCGCCCGGTGTCTGCTGGGGGCAGGATCAACCCCCCCGCTCCCGCCAGGTGAGAGCCACAGGTCTAGAGGTTAAAGATACAAAATTGTGGATCTCTCATCTCACATGAAGCTTACATTACAGGTGACAAAGGGACAGATAAACAAAAACATATGCAAAGCAACACATGGTGCCAAGTACTATATATGTTTGCTATAATTTTATTGAAGATTTTTTTATGGCTAGGCACTGTGGCTCACACCTGCAATCACAGAACTTTGGGAGGCCAAGATAGGAGGCTTATTTGGGCCTGGGAGTTTAAGAGTAGCATAAGCAACATAGGGAGAATCCATCTCGAAACAAAGAAGGAAGGAAGGAAGGAAGGAAGGAAGGAAGGAAGGAAGGAAGGAAGGCAGGCCGGCCGGCTCTTCCCGCCATCTTGGCTCCTGTGGAGACCTGTTGGGAACGGGACTTCCAAAAGGAACTATATCTGGAAGGCTGTGGTCCAAGGCCATTTTTGCCAGCTATAAGCGGGGTCTCCAAAACCAAAGGGACACACAGCTCTTCTTAAAATTGAAGGTGTTTATGCCCGAGATGAAACAGAATTCTATTTGGGCAAGAGATGCGCTTATGTATACAAAGCAAAGAACAACACAGTGATTCCTGGTGGCAAACCAAATAAAACCAGAGTCATCTGGGGAAAGGTAACTCGGGCCCATGGAAACAGTGGTATGGTTCGTGCCAAATTCCGAAGCAATCTTCCTGCTAAGGCCATTGGACACAGAGTCCGAGTGATGCTGTACCCCTCAAGGATTTAAACTAATGAAAAATCAATAAATAAACGTGGATTTGTGCTCTTGTAAAAAAAAGGAAGGAAGGAAGGAAGAAAGAAAGAAAGAAAAGAAAATAAAAGAAAGAAAGGAAAGAGAGAGAGAAAGAAAGAAAAAGAAAGAAAGAAAAAAGAAAAGAAAAAAGAAAAGAAAAGAAAGAAAAGAAAAGAAAAGAAAATTAGCTAGGTATGGTGGTGTGCGCCTGTGGTCCCAGCTACATGGGAGGCTGAGGTGGGAGGATCACTTAAACCCCAGAGGCTGAGGCTCCAGTGAGTTGGGATTGTGCCGCTGCACTCCAGCCTGGGCAATAAAGCAAGACCTTGTCTCAAAAAAACAAACAAACAAACAAACAAAAACTAAGGCCAGCTTCAGTGGCTCATGCCTGTAATCACAGCATTTTGGGAGGCCAAGGTGGGAGGATTGCTTGAGGCCAAGAGTTTTGAGACAAGCCTGGGCAACATCGTGAGACTCTATCTTAAAAACAAAGTAAAAAACAAGTCTGGAAACGTCACAAATTCCACCCATAAGATGGGCTGGTTGAAGAAACTGTAGAATTTAGTATATGCAGCTGTAAAACAGAATCAAGATTAGCTTTAGATGCTGGTTGAAGTGATCTCCAGGATGTATTAATAACTAGGTAAAGAAAAGTGTGTCGTGTGTGAGTGTGTGCAGGTGGGTGGCTGTGGGGGTATATGTGGGCATTGTTATAAAAGTATTATATATATAATATATATATAGTTATGTTAAAAGAATGAAAAGAAAGAGCCGAGACTGCAGATTTTATGTGTGTGTGTGTGTGTGTATATATATATGTTTGTGGGTTTTTTTGTTTTTTGTTTTTTTTAGATTGAGACAGAGTCTTGCTCTGTCGCCCAGACTGGATTGCAGTGGCGCGATCTCGGCTCACTGCAACCTGTGCCTCCCGGGTTCAAGTGATTCTCCTGCCTCAGCCTACCGAGTAGCTGGGATTATAGGGACCACCACCCCGCCTAGCTAATTTTTGTATTTTTAGTAGAAACGGGGTTTCGCCGTGTTGGCCAGGCTGGTCTCAAACTGCTGGCCTCAAGCGATCCACCCGCCTCAGCTTCCCAAAGTGCTGGGATTACAGGTGTGAGTCACTGCACCCAGCCCACAAGAACATTTTCTACATGCTCACCTTCAGAAAAGTTTCGAGATCCTACAAAATCTAGCCCTTTGTGCCTTTCCAAACTAGTTCCTCAGGGATGGCCAGCACAATAATGGCTCCTAAAGATATCCACACCCACTGAGTGTGGTACGTATGCCTGGGCAAAATAGCAAGACCCATCTCTACAAAAATTTTAAAAATTAACCAGGCGTGATGGCATATACCTGTAGTCCCAACTACCAGGGAGGCTGAGGTAGGAGGATCGCTTGAGCCCAGGAGGTTGAGGCTGCAATAAGCCATGATCACACTCCTGTACTCCAGCCTGGGCTACAGAGCAAGACCCTGTCTCAAAAAAATTAAACTAAATTAAAATTTTTCCATTTTTTAATTAAATGAAAACAGACAGGGTCAGGTGCAGTGGCTCACACCTGTAATCCTAGCACTTTGGGAGACCAAGGTAGGCATATCACCTGAGGTCAGGAGTTCGAGACCAGGTTGGCCAACATGGTGAAACCCCATTTCTACTAAAAATACAAAAATTAGCCTGGTGTGGTGGTGGGTGCCTGTGATCCCAGCTACTCGGGAGGCTGAGGCGGAAGAATTGCTTGAACCCGGGAGGCGAAGGTTGCAGTGAGCCGAGATTGCACCACTGTACTCCAGCCCGGGTGATAGAGCGAGACTGTGTCTCAAAGGAAAAAAAAAAAAAAAAGAAAAACAGACGGGGAACCGAGCTCAGGTCACACGCTGTGGCTTCTTGGTGTTGGCCCTAGCACCACGGACAGCTCCCGGGGCCTTGATGGACTGGGGAGGAGCTGTGGCTCTTTAAATGCCAGTCTGGGCAGGCCTGTCTGTCCAGAATACGCCTCCCTCCCTCTTTTTTATTCATCTAACTCCACTCACTCCTCAGGGGTCTCACTCATACAGTCACCATCCCTGTGCCCCACCAGGAAAACTCCCCAAGGGTCCCCCAACCTGCACCACTCCAAAGATGTCTCTAGATGTGCCCAGACTCTTGTCCACCTGTTTCTCTCAACTGAATGGGAATTCTTTTGTTTTGTTTTGTTTTGTTTTTTGAGATAGAGTCTCACTCTGTCACCCCACCTGGAGTGCTGTGGCTTGATCTGGGCTCACTGCAACCTCCACCTATCGGGTTCAAGCGATTCTCCTGCCTCAGTCTCTCAAGTAGCTGGAATTACAGGTGCCCACCACCACGTCCGACCAAGTTTTGTATTTTTAGTAGAGACGGAGTTTCAGCATGTTGTCCAGGCTGGTCTCAAACTCCCAATGTCAATTTATCCTTGGCCTCCCAAAATGCTGGGATTACAGGTGTGAGTGGCCTCCCAAAGTGCTGGGATTACCTGCCTGGCCTCAACTGAATGGGCATTCTAAGAGAATTCCAAATCCTGCACACAAAAACAGCATGAATTAACTGTCTTAGGGAAGCTGCGCCTTTGCCGGCCGTGAGCTGAGAAGAAGCAGATACCTCAGAGGGAGGGCGCACAGGCGGGTGATGACAAGAGGGGCCACAGCCGCAGCCCCGCGCAGGGGAGCCCATCACTAACTCCGCACCCCACCCATGCACAAAAGAGGTGGCAGGCACTTGCAACCTTCCTCAGAGGCAGAATCCACCCCTAGCAGCATCCTCTTCCACCGATGCTCTGGAGGCCTGGGGAGCCTGAGAGATGCCCGCTGCACCCGGGCAGGGCTTGCTTTGTTTGCCAGCAAGGAGAGGACCATGAGTAATGGGAATTACTCATATCTTGTGCCCAGTGCCCAGCACAGGGACTAACCGAATCCACCCCTCAGTTAACACAAGTGTCTCTTACAAGACCTCTGCTTTCTCCAGCCAGGAGATGTGAAGCCCAGCTGTGTGTCGAAGTCTCTGGAGTCTCTGTTTCCCCATCTGGGCTTTCTGCCTCTGCTGTGGGCAGGTTGCCTTCCTGCCTTGGAGGGGTGCAGACCCCCATGCAGTGGGTGAGGCTGACAGCCTAGGTGGGGTGTCATTGAATGTCATGGAGGGAGCCAGCCTTCATGCACTCTGCCTGCGTTTCCTGAACAGCTTTGCACCAGGAGTTGCTACTTTGTGCGGAGAATGTGCGATGAATAAGACCAACTGAGCCTCTGCTCTTCGAAAATGTATATTCTGGCCGGGCGCGGTGGCTCACGCCTGTAATCCCAACCGTTTGGGAGGCCGAGGTGGGCAGATCACCTGAGGTCAGGAGTTCAAGACCAGCCTGGCAAACATGGTGAAACCCCGTCTCTGCTAAAAATACAAAAATTAGCCAGGCGTGGTGGTGTGCACCTGTAATCCCAGCTACTTTGGAGGCTGAGGCAGGAGAATCACTTGAACCTGGGAGTCGGAGGTTGCAGTGAGCCAAGGTCGCACCACTGTACTCCAGCCTGGGCAATAGAGCGAAACAAACACATAAACAGCTTTTCTTGTGCCCCAGCACTGTGTTTAATGCTGTCTATGCATTATCTCATAACGTGAAAAAGCCATAGCGGCTCCATTTCACAGATGAGGAAAACTGAGACCCGCAGGTAAGATCATTCACATCCCCTGGTCCACCAGCTGGAGAGTGGCTGGGCTAGAGTTTAAACTCACTTCCAGTCTGACTGCAGGGCCTGCACGCTCCACCCTACCATCTTCACTGTGTCCTTGAATTCCTCCAGGGTGAGGTCACACCGGTGCACAACTGCAGGGGGCGCCGTTCCCACAGCAGCCTTGCAGAGCGAGTGTGCCTGATAAACTTCTGCCTCCCCTGCACCCAGCCCTGTTTAGGGCATGAGGCTCCATCCACTGTAAATGACCATCTAATAGACCCACAACATGGTGACCTGGGCACAGTCATTTCTTTCTTTCTTTTTTTTTTTTTTTTTTTTTTTTTTTTTTTGAGACAGAGTCTCCCTCTGCCTCCCAGGCTGGAGTGCAGTGGCACCATCTCGGCTCACTGCAACCTCCGCCTCCCGGGTTCAAGCGATTCTCCTGCCTCAGCCTCCCGAGTAGCTGGAATTACAGGCGTCCGCCACCACGCCCGGCTAATTTTTATCTTTTTAGTAGAGACGGGGCTTCATCACGTTGGCCAGTCTGGTATCGAACTCCTGTCCTCAGGTGATCCTCCCTCCTCGGCCTCCCAAAGTGCTGGGATTACAGACGTGAGCCATGGCACCCGGCCTGGGGACAGTCATTTCTTTGCCTGCACAGACTTTTTGGGGGGATGCCACCCCTCACCCCTGCTCCCTTTGCAAGGAGAAGTGCCAAGAGGACCTTCCTCAGCCCTCCCCACCCCCGTTCTCTAAGGAATGAGGCCATCTCGCCATTTATTTATTTATTTGTCTGTTGTTTTGTTTTTAAATCTGTGATGCGCCATCAGAAAATGATTTCTGCCTCTGCCCCTGGCGTGGCTTTGGGAGATGCTTGTCTGTCAGCCAATGGAGAGGACCGGATTCTGGCAGGGGGCTGTGCCTTTCGGTCAGGCCGCCACCCCCCACCCCCTCCTCCCTGCACACAAAAGCAGCATAAATTAACCATCTTCGGGAAGCCGAGCCTCTGCCAGCCGTGAGCTGGGAAGAAGCAGCTACCTCCGAGGCAGGGCGCGCAGGCGGGTGGCGATGAGAGCGGGCGCAGCCGCAGCCCCGCGAGGGGGAGCCCACCGCTAACCCTGCACCCCACCCACCCCTGCACAAAAGAGCTGGCGGGCGCTGGCCACGTCGCCCTGGGTGACCTTCCTCGGATGCAGAAGCCGTCCCTGCGAGCATCCTCTTCCTCCCAGGCTCTGAAGGCCTGGGGAGCGTGAGCGATGCCCAGCTGCACCCGGGCAGGGCTCGCCTTTGTTTGCCAGTAAGGAGGAGAGGCTGTCTCAGCTGCAGAGGTGAGTGCGCGCATCTCCCCTTCGCCCAGGATAAAGCGTCTCCCTGGAAGGTTTATCCGGCAGCCTTTTGCCGCCTCTAAATCCCTTTCCAGCAGATGGGGCGGGTGGGAGCAGAGAGCCACGGTCTTGTGACTCCGTGAAGGCCCTCACATCCGTGTTCCCGGTAGCAGGGGAAACCGTTCCCCGAGCTGCGCCCGGCAACACAGTTTACCTTCCGCGCGCACCGTTCCCCTGGAAGGCAGATAAGTGCACCATTTTCAGGACACGCTGAGAGCTTGGGCGGATGAAAACCTCGGCTTCTCTCTGGGACGCTGAAATAGACCCATCCTAGCCCCGTGTATTTCCTATTTATAACGCTGGGAAGGCCACCAGCTGCCGATTTGGGGGGAAAAAAAAAAAAATTAAGTATGTCGATAAAGGCTTGCCTGTGGGGTGGGGAGGAAGGGGGTGGCTTATGGTTTAAGACCCAGATGCCTCCTCCTTATCGGAACTCGTTTGTGATTTGCTAATAATCAGACCTCAGGGCTCAAATGAGCGCTTCACTCCGGTTCCTTGATGGCACTGTCTTCTTTTGGCCGTCCCCAAATGCGAAGCCAGGATCTGAGTGCAGGAGCGTCCGGGGCCCACTGAGGACCCACCACACCCCATCCTTAGAAGACTGTGGAGTCAACGCCTGTGGCTGCAGCTGGCAGGGGGTGGGGGTCGGGGGCGGGGCTGGGGGAAGTGTTCCTGGGGGCTGAGGTCACACCCAGCTCTGTATAAGGAAGGCAGAGGCGAAGACCCGCTTCCTCCGGAAAGCAAACGCGTTTCTACTGCCGAGGAGAACTTACCGTCGCGGGAAGGGCCTGGCTGGCAGCTGCCACCCCCGCCCCTCACCCCATAGCATCCAGGAGGGATTTTTTTTTTTTTTTTCCATGCTGCGTGTTACTGTCCCTCCTCCAAGAATGAATGACGACATTGAGGACAGAGAATCGAGTGAGAAACGCTCACCCTGTACGGGGGAGGGTCTAGTTTTAGCCGTCCCCTCCCCCAATTCCTCATCTGACTGAGGCTGCCTCTGGGTCCTTCCTTGGTAATCCACCGTCCCCGATGTAAAGCCGATATCTAAGGCTGGGGGGCTGCAGGTAACCTACTCCGCAGAGAGGCAGTCAGGACGCCATGCGAGTTGGGGGCCTTAGATGCTTTATGTATTTGTTTTTTTGAGACAGGGTCTTGCTATCTTGGCCCGGCTGGTCTTGACCTCCTGTGCGCAAGCGATCCTCCCGAAGTGCTGGGATTACACGTGTGAGCCACTGCCCCCAGCCAGATGCTTTATTTATTTATTTATTTATTTTTTTGAAATAGGGTCTCTGTTGCTCAGGCTGGAATGCAGCAACACGATCAAAGCTCACTGCAGCCTCAACCTCCTGGGCTCAAGCAGTCCTCTCACCTCAACCTCCTGAATAGCTAGGACCTCAGGCACCAGGCACCCAGCACCATGTTTGGTTTTTGTATTATTATTATTTTTTTTAGAGATGGAGTCTTGCTATGTTGCCCAGGCTGGTCTTGACCATCTGGGCTGAAGCGATCCTCCTATCTTAGCCTCCTAAAGTGCTGGGGATTACAGGTGTGAGCCACTGCACCAGCCAGATGCCTTATTTTATTTTATTGTTTGAAATAGAACCTTGCTCTGTTGCTCAGGCTGGAATGCAGCAGCACGATCAAAGCTCACTGCAGCCTTGACCTCCTGGGCTCAAGCAGTCCTCTCACCTCAGCCTCCTGAATAGCTAGGAGCTCAGGCACCAGGCACCCAGCACCATGTTTGGTTAATTTTTGTATTTTTTTTTTTTTTAGAGATGGGGTCTTGCTATGTTGCCCAGGCTGGTCTTGACCTTCTGGGCTCAAGCAATCCCCCTATCTCAGCCTCCCAAAGTGCTGGAGATTACAGGTGTGAGCCACTGCACCCGCCAGATGCCTTATATTTTATTTTATTATTTTATTTTTTGAAATAGAACTTCACTCTGTTGCTCAGGCTGGAATGCAGTGGCATGATCATACCTCACTGCAGCCTCGACCTCCTGGGCTCCAGCAATCCTCCCACCTCAGCCTCCTGAATAGCTGGGACCTCAGGCACCCACCATCATGCTTGGTTAGTTTTTGTAAATTTTTGGAGAGATGGGGTCTTGCTATGTTGCCCAGGCTGGTCTTGAACCCCTGATCTCAAGTGATCTGCCCAAAGTGCTGAGATTCCAGGCATGCACCACTGCACCCAGCCCCCAGATTATTTAAAAAGTGGATCTAGCGGCCAGGCGCAATGGCTCACGCCTGTAATCCCAGCACTTTGGGAGGCAGGCGGATCACTAGGTCAGGAGTTTGAGACCTGCCTGGCCAATATAGTGAAATCCCGCCTCTACTAAAAATACAAAAATTAGCTGGGCATGGTGGCACACACCTGTAGTCCCAGCTACTCAGGAGGCGGAGGTTGCAGTGAGCCGAGATCGCACCACTGCACTCCAGCCTGGGTGACAGAGCGACTCCGTCTCAAAAAAAAAAAAAAAAAAAAAAAAAAGTGTATCTTGCTACTCAGGAACTGTTGAGAGGACACACGGAGGTAATGGAGTGTACCATGCTCTGTAATAACTGCCGGACACGGACCTGAAATCCTTTTGCAAACACGGGAATGCACACAGAAATGACTATTGCCTTTAAGACGAGATTTCTCCACCTTGGATCTAAGGATATTTGGGGCCCAGTCATTCTTGGTCATGGGAGGCCATCCTGGGCACTGTAGGGTACTGAGCAGCACCCCTGGCGTGCCCCAGGGGGCACTCCTTTCCCTCAGTTGTGAGAAAAGTGCCTCTAGATGATGCCAAGTGTCCCCTTGCAGGAGGGGTGGCAGAATTGCCCACAGGTGCAAAGCACTGGTTTCAAAGCACAAAACAGATGGGGTTGGCTGAGTCATAAAATGCCGGTATGTTATATCCAAAAGGTATCATAGAGGTCATCTCTAATTCAACTCTTGTTCACAGAAGGGGAAACTGAGACCCAAAGAGGGAGATGGTCTGAGAGTCCATCATGCCCCAGAGCAGACCAGAACTCAGTCTCACCTGGCAGCTCTGATCCTGGCCCCCACCTAGACTGCTTCCCCCTGCCCACTGAGCTCCTTAGAACAAGAAAAACAAAGCTGGTGTGGGGGGTGGGGTGGTGCAGTGGCTCACGCCTGTAATCCCAGTGCTTTGGGAGGCTGAGGTAGGAGGATCACCTGAGCCCATAAGTTCAAGACCAGCCTGGGTGACATAGCAAGATCAGAAAAATTAGCCAGACATGGTGGCACATGCCCATGGTCTCAGCTACTTGGGAGGCTAAGGCAGGAGGATCGCTTGATCACAGGAGTTGGAGGCTGTAGTGAGCCGGGATCACACCACTGCACTCCAGCCTCGGTGACAGAGCAAGACCCCATCTCTAAATAAATAAATAAATAAAGTGACATTTTGTGGTTAGTAAAGATGAGGGTCTCCTTTCTAACCCCAGTCTCTTTAAACACTGTCTTTGTGAGCCCTGGGATCAGAAGGTCACTTGGACTTGCTTGAGGGAGGACAGAGGGGCAGGACAGGTAGCCTGGTAGAGATGGCAGATAGTGATGGGTTAAGCCTACTGGATTCTCTTTGAACTTGGCATTCCCAGCAGGGCAGCTGAAGTATATCAGCCATTCACACTTTAGTATGAATGATGGTTTGGATTTCTTGCTTTCTAGTTGAGGTCCAAAGTACAAGAGGGAGGATAAGTCTATTTGGGTCATGGCTTACCCTGGAGAAGGTGGATTTCAGAGTTTCCAAGGGAGCAGGACTTGTATCCGAAGGCTCAGCCTCTCGCCCACGTTCAAACTCTGAACCCCACTGTGCATCCTAAGCTTTCTGTGCCTCCGTTTTCTCATCTGTAATACAGGGGAACCTCATGGGACTGGGTGATGGTTCAATAAGAAGTGTTGGCCGGACGCAGTGGTTCACCCTTGTAATATCAGTGCTTTGGGAGGCCGAGGCAGGAGGATTGCTTGAGCCCAAGAGTTTGAGACCAGCCTGGGCAACATAGCAAGACCCAATCTCTTAAAAAATATTTTTAAAAATTGCCCAGGCATGGTGGTACACACCTGTGGTCATAGCCACTGGTGGGGGGGCTGAGGCAGGAGGATTGCTTAAGCCGAGGAGTTCAAGGCTGCCATGAGCTATGATTGTGCCCCTGCACTCCAGCCCAGGCAACAGAGCAAGATCATGTTTAAAAAAAAAAACAGGCCGGGCGCGGTGGCTCAAGCCTGTAATCCCAGCACTTTGGGAGGCCGAGACGGGCGGATCACGAGGTCAGGAGATCGAGACCATCCTGGCTGACACGGTGAAACCCCGTCTCTACTAAAAAAATACAAAAAAACTAGCCGGGCGAGGTGGCGGGCGCCTGTAATCCCAGCTACTTGGGAGGCTGAGGCAGGAGAATGGCGTGAACCCGGGAGGCGGAGCTTGCAGTGAGCTGAGATCCGGCCACTGCACTCCAGCCTGGGTGACAGAGCAAGACTCCGTCTCAAAAAAAAAAAAAAAAAAAAAAAAACAAAGAGCCAGGCTCAGTGGCTCACCGCTGTAATCCCAGCACTTTGGGAGGCTGAGACGGGCAGACCACTTGAGCTCAGGAGTTTGAGACCAGCCTGGCCAACATAGTGAAACCCCGTCTCTATTAAAAATACAAAATTTAGCTGGGCATGATGGCTCACACCTGTGATCCCAGCACTTTGGGAGGCGAAGGCAGGAGGATCACCTGAGGACAGGAGTTCGAGACCAGCCTGGACAACATGGCGAAACCCTGTCTCTGCAAAAATACAAGAATTAATCAGGCATGGTAGCAGGTGCCTGTAATCCCAGCTACTTGGGAGGCTGAAGCGGGAGAATCACTTGAGCCCAGAAGGTGGAGGTTGCAATAAGCTGAGATTGCACCATTGCACTCCAGCCTGGGCAACAGAGCAAGACTCTGTCTCAAGAAGAAGGAGAAGGGAGGGAGAGGGAGAGGGGGAGGGGGGAAGAGCTGCATGGGGTAGGGCACTGTCATTAGGATTATTGTCCAGTAAAACCCATTCTTTTCAGGGGTCACCCCTGCTTCAAGCCGGTGCCTCTTTCCGGCTCCTATGGGGACCACAGAAGCCACGCTCCGGATGGAAAACGTGGATGTGAAGGAGGAATGGCAGGACGAAGACCTTCCCAGGTAGGACTTCCACACGCCTGAGTCAGCCGTCGGGGGAGCAGGTGTCTCTCCCAGGTGGGACGCAGGAGCCAGGCCGTCTCTAAGTGGGAACGGCCCGGGGCTGGCCTGGTTCCATCTCCGTGTCCTCATCTCCCGCACACTCTGGGAGGGCTGAGGCCCTGTGTGTGAGTGTTCTCTGTGGTTTCACAGTGGAGTAGTCCAGGCCAGGCACATAATGGGTATTTGCTCATTCATTTAAGATTCATTTCTGTCCTCCCTGCCCCAAGGCTCCAAAGGAGCCCCCACCTCTACACCATTTTAAGAGTTCTTAACATTCTGGCCGGGTGCAGTGGCTCATGCCTGTAATCCCAACACTTTGGGAGGCCGAGGCGGGTGGATCACTTGAGGTCAGGAGTTCGAGACCAGCCCAGCCAACATGGCAAAATCACGCCTCTACTAAAACTACAAAAATTAGCTGGGCATACCGGGAGTGGTGGCTCACGCCTGTAATCCTAGCACTTTGGGAGGCCGAGGTGGGAGGATCACAAGGTCAGGAGATTGAGACCATCCTGGCTAACACGTTGAAACCCCATCTCTACTAAAAATACACAAATTAGCCGGGCCTGGTGGTGGGCGTCTGTAGTCCCAGCTACTCCAGAGGCTGAGGTGGGAGAATGGTATGAACCCGGGAGGCAGAGCTTGCAGTGAGCTGAGATCTTGCCACTGCACTCCAGCCTGGGTGACAGAGTGAGACTCCATCTCTAAAAAAAAGAAAAAAAATTAGCTGGACATGGTGGCAGGCGCCTGTAATTCCAGGTCGAGGCAACATGGTGATTTATTAGCAGCTTTTAGGAGACACCTAACTCCCCTAACATGCTGAATTTATTTTTTTATTATTATTATTTTTTTTTTTTTTGAGTCTCGCTCTGTCCCACAGGCTGGAGTGCAGTGGCACGATCTTAGATCACTGCAACCTCCGCCTCCTGGGTCCAAGTGATTTTCCTGCCTCATCCCCCCCGGGGAGCTGGGATTATAGGCGCCTGCCACCACGCCTGGCTGATTTTTGTATTTTTAGTGTAAATAAATAGTAGATACCGGGTTTCACCATTGTTGGCCAGGCTGGTCTCGGACTCCCAAAGTGCTGGGATTCCAGGTGAGAGCCACCAAGCCCGGCCCCTATGCTGAACGTTTTGCAGAGATAGCTTGTCTACACTCCGTTTCCCCACCACAAGGAGCCCCACAAGAGCACAGGTCTTTGTTTAGCTCACTGCTGTATCCCAACATAAGGATAGTGCCTGGCATACAGTTGGCGCTTAACAAATATTGGGTGACAGGTGCTGGTCACTAATCAGAATAAGAAATCACAGGGGCTGGGTGCGGTGGCTCACGCCTATGATCCCAGCACTTGCAGAGGCTGAGGCTGGGGAAATGCTTGAGCTCAAGAGTTCGAAACCAGCCTGGGCAAGTTAGTGAGACCCCATTTCTACTAAAAAAAAAAAATAGCTGGGCATGGTGGTGTGCACCTGCAGTCTCAGCTACTTGGAAGGCTGAGGCAGGAGGATCACTTGAGCCCAGAAGGTAGAGGTTGCAGTGAGCCATGATTGCACCACTGCACTCCAGTTTGGGTGACAGAGCAAGACCCTGTCTCTATTTATTTATTATTTATTTGTTATTTTTTTTTTGAGATGGAGTCTTGCTCTGTTGCCCAGGCTAGAGAGCAGTGGCGCGATCTCTGCTTGCTGCAAGCTCTGCCTCCCGGGTTCACGCCCTTCTCCTGCCTCAGCCTCCCAAGTAGCTGGGACTACAGGCACCCGCCACCACGCCCGACTAATTTTTTTGTATTTTTAGTATTTATTTCACAGTGTTAGCCAGAATGGTCTCGATCTCCTGACCTCGTGATCCACCCACCTCAGCCTCCCAAAGTGCTGGGATTACAGACGTGAGCCACCACGTCCAGCCGCCTATCTCTATCTAAAAAGAAAGAAAAAAAAAAAAAGGCCAGTCGCAGTGACTCAGGCCTGTAATCCTAGCACTTTGGAAGGCCGAGGTGGGCGGATCACAAGGTCAGGAGTTTGAGACCAGCCTGGCCAACATAGTGAAACCCTGTCTCTACTAAAAATAAAAAAATAATAAAAAATTAGCTGGGCATGATGGCAGGCGCCTGTAATCCCAGGTACTCAGGAGGCTGAGGCAGGAGAATCACTTGAACCCGGGAGGAGGAGGTTGCAGTGAGCCGAGATGTACCACTGCATTCCAGCCCAGGTGACAGTGCGAGACTCTGTCTCAAAAAAAAACTACGTGGAAAGGAAGCTGTGCAAATTTGCTGTTGAGATGTGTGACTCTGATTTGCTGGCTAGAGATAGCCGCTCATCCCCCTTCCCTTTCAGAGCCAGGAATTCATCCATCCGCCAGACACAATGCCTGCGGGTCAGTTATAGAAACTACTGGGTGAGGTTCAGTCAGAAAAACCAGGTGTGTTCCGCCTGAAAAAGAGAATTTGAAAAGAATCTCCAGGCCGCCCACAGTGGCTCACGTCTGCAGTCCCAGCAGTTTGGGAGGCCGAGGCGGGCAAATCACTTGAGGTCAGGAGTTTGCGGCCAGCCTGGACAATATGGCGAAACCCCATCTCTACTAAAAATACAAAAATTAGTTGGGCGTGGTGGCAGGCACCTGTAATCCCAGCTACTCAGGAGGCTGAGGCAGGAGAACTGCTCGAACTCGGGAGGCGGAGGTTGCAGTGAGCCAAGATCATGCCACTGTACTCCAGCCTGGGCAGTGGAGTGACTGAGACTGTCTCAAAAAAAAAAAAAAAAAAAAAAAGAATCTCCAGTTCCAGAGAAATCTCAATCTGAGAGGGTTCCGGAGGGCGGGACAAAGCCGAAAGAACGAACTTAAAAGAGAATGGGGTTTGAAGGAGATACAGAAGAATGCCTCGAAGCAGTCGGTCTCCGTCAAAATGAGTCAGGTTGGTGTGGGAGGCCGAGAGCTTCCTTCCCATTCACATGCAAGCAGAAGGAGGACTGTTGAAGATGGCAACTTGATATTCAAGAACTTCAGCCCTCTCCTGAATCCAGTCATTGCCAAGCCTCTAAGGCCCATGCACCTGTATGTGTTTCTTTGTAGCAAGAGGTCCCTGTTCTCAGAATAGCCGACAATCACGACTGGGAGTGGAGGCTGACATCTGTAATCCCAGCTCTTTGGGAGGCCAAGGTGGGAGGATCCCTTGAGCCCAGGAGTTCGAGATTAGCCTGGGCAATATAGCAAGACCCCATCTCTTAACACAAACAAGCAAAAACTGGCCGGGCCTGGTGGCTCACACCTATAATCCCAGCACTTTGGGAGGCCGAGGCGGGCGGATCACCTGAGGTCAGGAGTTCGAGACCAGCCTGACCAACATGGAGAAACCCTGTCTCTACTAAAAATACAAAATTAACCAGGCCTGGTGGCCCACGCCTGTAATCCCAGCTACTCGGGAGGCTAAGGCAGGAGAATCGCTTGAACCCGGGAGGTGGAGGTTACAGTGAGACAAGATCGCACCACTGAACTCCAGCCTGGGCGAGAAAGTGAGACTCCATCTCGAAATAAATAAATAAATAAAATAGGAAATGAAAAAAAATTAGTCAGGTATGCTGGCTTGCACCTGCTACTCAGGAGGCTGAGGCAGGAGGATCGTTTGGACGTGGGAGGCAGAGGTTGCAGTGAGCCAAGATCGCACCACTGAACTCCAGCCTGGGCAACAGAGTGAGACTCTGACTCAAAATAAATAAATAAAATAAAATAAAATAAAAATAGTCAGGTATGCTGGTGTGCACCTGTAGTTCCAGCTTCTCAGGAGGCTGAGGCAGGAGGATTGTTTGGACCTGGGAGATTGCAGCAATGAGCTATGATCACACCACGGCACTGCAGCCTGGACAACAGAGCAAGACTGCATCTCTAAGAAAAATAATAAAAATTTTAAAATAATGTCATTTCAAGCAGCACAGCATAAACAAAGGCACATAAGCTTTGGGATCAGACGCCCATGGTTCAAATCCCAATTCCCCAGCAAGTTTGCTCTGCCATCTGGGCTACCTCTTTGGGCGTCTCAGTGCCTCTGTTTTCTGATCTGTAAAATGGGACAATAATCTCCCGCACACCAGGTGGTTGTGGAATTTCGATGAAACAGCCGACATGGGCTGTGCAAATGACGAAGGCAGCACAAATAAATAATCATCTCCAGTGTTACTATTATTATTAGCTCCCGTTCCCCCTACTGATGTTTTTTTCTTTTTCTTTTTTTTTTTTTTTGAGACAGAGTCTCACTCTGTCACCCAGGCTGGAGTGCAGTGTGCGATCTCAGCTCACTGCAACCTCCGCCTCCCGGGTTCAATTGATTCTCCTGCCTCAGCCTCCCAAGTAGCTGGATTACAGGCACCCGCCACCACGCCTAGCTCATTTTTGTATTTTTAGTAGAGACGAGGGCTCACCATGTTGGCCAGGCTGGTCTCGAACTCTCAACCTCAGGTGATCTGCCCACCTCAGCCTCTCAAAGTGCTGGGATTATAAGCATGAGCCATTAGGCCCAGCTCCACTGATAATTTTTTTGTTTGTTTGTTTTGAGACAGTCTTGCTCTGTCACCTAAGCTGGAGTGCAGTGGCACAATCTCGGCTCACTGCAACCTCCACCTCCCGGGTTCAAGCAATTCTCCCACCTCAGCCTCCCGAGTAGCTGGGATTACAGGCACCCACCACCACACCCAGCTATTTTTGTATTTTTGGTAGAGACGGAGTTTCAACATGTTGGCCAGGCTGGTCTCGAACTCGCAACCTCAAGTGATCTGCCTGCCTCGGTCTCCCAAAGTGCTGGGATTACAGGCGTGAGCCACCCCACCCGGCCTCTGCCGATAAGTTTAAAAGCTCTCATCTCACCCAAGCCTTCTTGAGACAAAGACCGAGGCTGAGCGCAGCTGCAAATGTGAGCTGGAGGCCGTTCTGGAAGGGGTGAGGCCAGCGGGAGCGGGAGGAGGGAGTGCTTCTGGTGG